GACAATTCCCCTTTCCAGAGACAATAAATGTGTGTATGATGAAAGGTTACTAAACTAGAAAACAAGAATACAAGAATACAAGAATACAAGAATACAACAGAATAGCAAGAGGGAGGTTAAAGTTGAGGTTGGAGCTCTGTTCGCAGCAGGTTGGCTACAGCCTACTCAGTAACTACACAATCCTGCCGTAATATAATTAAATACTTAACGAGGGATGAGAAAAAGGAAGAGGCTGACAATCGCTTGGCGCAGGCGATGATGAGAAAAGACTGGAGCACACCAACACAACAAGGCCCTTATCCCCAGCCTCTTTCTATTCGTCTTTTCATTCGACTTTATCCGCATCAGCCTGGTAGAGACACTCACACATACCGAGGCTCTGCTTCCTTCACAAGTTTACCTGGACAGCCCAAGATTTGCTTACGGATTGCCTCCACGGAGAATGCGGAGTAGACGCCTGGTAATTCAGAGCTTGACCGTGCTCGTTGGTTTATCACAAGTGGACAGGTTACAGAGGAGACCATCCAACCAAGTGGATAGCTAAATCTACTTCATGCCCAACCCGAGAACTTTCCCAGTTGTGTCCAACGCGCCCTGGCAAAACCAGTTGATGTCATTTGATGATGCAGCTGTCGATGCTTTGGATGATAAATCTGCTTTATGGCGCTGATTCGATCAGCCTCTGGATCTCAATTTGACTGTTTGGCTCTCTTGCTGACATCTGTCTTGCACCTGACAGTCATGAAACAAGGGCACATTTTGTGAAATTCAGATTGCATGCATATATATTAGCTGCAAGAGTCAACCGGCCTGTCAGATCAATTAGTACTCACCAAGTTTCTCCTGAAACACAACTGCGCGGTGCCTTCTCTTGCATGTGTGTGTGAGTGACTGAGTGAGTGAGTGAGTGTGTGAGTGAGTGTGTGTGTGTGTGTGTGTGAGAGAGAGAGAGAGAGAGAGAGAGAGAGAGAGAGAGAGTGTGTGTGTGTGTGTGTGTGTGTGTGTGTGTGTGTTTGTTTCAAAGGATTGAATGGGGTGTCTCAACCATCCTTAATCAAGCTCTACACAAAAAAAATGCTGGTGACAACAGCATCATCTTGACTGACAACTAGGTGAATAATGGATGCTGCTGACTCTACTATTTGGCAATGTTTCAAAATTCCCAGGCATTGTCTGTGCAGTGTTTGATTTCGAACGTTCTCAAGCATATCATCAATATCCTATCACCCACCGATATACGACACAACACAGGATCCAGCCACAACAACCTTCAATTTTCCGTGAGAAGCCTAGTCGACGGTTAAAGTTTAGCGGCTTTGCCGGTCCCTGGACAACGAAATCCCAACCCCACAAGGCAATTGGCTAGTCCCACCATGCCCAGATTTCATACTTTTCGTGCTTGCCAACGCATCACTCCACACCACCAACTCAAAATCATGTCCGTCGCCAACCACCACTCTCAAGTCAAGTATGATGGAACGCTTCCAAGGTTAAATGCCCGTCATTAGTGCGGATGATACTGTCCTGCCGACACGAAACGAAGGTTGAATAAAACAATGGCATAAAAAAAAAAAAAAATTTAATGCTCATCGCTCATTGCTCCATAGAGGCAACACGATTTCCACTTCCAAGCTAAGAAGTTCCCAGCCACATCAACTTATTGGGTTTTACCGTCCTCATA